TTTACTCATCCCAAGCAAAACCACTGGTTGACCCACCTGCCTGTCAACCTAACTCTCTACTTGAACACACTCTGCCTACACCTGCACTCATCGCATGAGCTAAGATTCTCCCACAAAGCTTTGCAGGCAGATGTTTTACTGCTCTGTTTTGATACTGAGCTATGGCAGAGAAGGGACCCACAGCAGCTTTTGGTCGCAAAAGAGACCATACTGGAGAAAGTTACAGCAGAAAAGAAGTTAGATACTCTAAGAAGTAAAACCAGAATTAACACTGGTGTGGCTTTCGAATGATGCCACAACCTGAGAGAACAAAAGGGGCTGAAAGTGACATCATGGTGGCTTTCGCTTGCTGGTTTATCCAGGATTGCCAACCCTACCTTTAAATGTGAGAACCCCAAACTATCCAGAGGAAGTGTTCCTTTAATGTCACAGTGAAAATAGACTGCCCTTAACACATTTGAAATGACTATTTATACAATCAGACAGTACCTTCTTTCTGTCTGGAGACAGGATCAGCCAAACTGATGCAGTCTCAGGATCCAGGGTCACACTTACTGCAGAAACAGAGACGAAAAAGAATGAGTCGAGTACCAGTAAGAGGTAAAGATCAATTTAATCAAGGTCATCAAAATAGGGAAATGCTGTATGATTATGAATATACCTGCATATTGATTCATCTTGTCTACCACTGAAAAAAGGAGGAAAGGTTATTTTTGTGCATCGATTTTTACAACAATCTCTCAAAAGTATATAATCTTTAATATTACTGACCTTCTGCAGAGAATTTCTTTTCAATTCCCTGACAGATGTCCACCAGCTTAGAGATGTATTTCCTCACTGTTTCCATGCAGTTATCTGAGTGCACTGTGATCTTAGACCACTCTCTCATGGATGAGAGTTTACCCAGAGACAGGAAATTCTAAAATACCCAAGGAATATATGTCATGAGCGCACTTGTACAGGGAAACGTGTTTCTGTACTGTGCATATGACAAGAAACACTTTAAAATGTAGCTGGCAGGTACCGAACCTGCAGGACATGAAGAGGGTTCTGAGTGAGCTCCAGATCCTGTAGCTTGCTGCTCCTCATCTGCAGCTCACTGATTTCCTGCTGGAGCTTGTCGAGCAGCTCATCAGCTCTCCTCTCAGCTTCTTCCTGCCTCTCCTTTAGCTCCTGGAGGAGCCCGGCCTGGTGTGTCTGGATGGTGGTTATCAGCAGGGTGCAGACCTGAGAACTGCTCTGAATCTCTTTCTCTGTGATTTTCTGTCAGATGAGAAAGTAAACCATGTAAATTCAGAGAAAAAACAGACAACCTTAATCTCTCTATGAGAATGCTTCCATGCAACTATGCAGACTTACTTTGCTTAGATCCACTGAATTTTTGATCTCCTCAATTTTTCTCAGTCTGTCCTGGATCATCTGTTGCATGTCACTTTTAGTCTCCCTCACATTAGTCTGAAGAATATCAAAGTTAATTTTGATATACAGTATTAATTTCATTACAGGTAGAAATTACAGCCATTTCTTAAACTTAGCTTTAAAAACACTTTTCCTCACCTTGATCCTGTTGCTCTCCTTCGCCACTGGGACAACTCGGTGCTGTTTGTGTTCCTTCTCAGTACATTTCACACATACAGGTGTGTGGTCATTTTTGCAGAACATTGTCAGCGGCTCATTGTGCTTTCTGCAGAGTTGACTGGTGGCTGGATCTGTCAGCCAGTGTTTCTGCAGCGTTGGGTCCGTCAGGTGGGGTGCAAGGTGAATTTCACAGTAAGACGCCTGGCAGAAGAGACACGACTTGACCGATGATGACTTGTTCTCTAGGCAGACGTCACAGAGAGCTTCCTCTGTCTTGGAGAGTTGGTCTGAGGAAACATCCTCCTCTTCTTTTGGTGTGGGCAACAGAGACCTTTTGATTTGAAATAAATTGTGTTAAATCTAAATAAAATTTAAATATTCAGCTTTTTGGCATAATTTGCAGAAACAGAAAGCTTCAAAAGATAACATTTAAAGCAAACCTTTTAAAGAATTCAATTATATCAGCAAACCCTGGGTTGATTCTAAGTTCTGGGCGACACCTGAAAGCCTCTTTGCACAGCGGACACTCCCACTTGTCTTTGGTATCCCAGAAGCCTTTGATACAGTCCAGGCAGAAGTTGTGTCCACACGGGATGGTGACGGGGTCGGTGTAGATGTCCAGACAGATGCAACACCGCACGTGCTCCTCAAGTGGCATGGGGACCACATTTCTGACTGGAAAATGACACATTATTCCAGTCAAACAGGCTCATTGGATGAAAATTCTTGCACACATAGTACACATAGTTTCATACTGTGTACCAGGCAGTTTTTAACTCTCAAAGGGGAGTTGACCATGTTACACAATATTTGTTCTGCCTACGTCAAAGCTGGCATCAAAAATAACAGAAACAGAAAATGTCAAATTTTTAATTTTATGCCAAAGCACATCATCCTTTACCTAACAATAAGAATCCCTGGCCGGCTCAAGTTTTATAGGCCTTAAACTAAATTTGATTTGGGTGCTCTTTGCTGCCAATACTATTAACTATTGTTAATGCATGATCATTCACACATGTACTGTAACTCTAACACACTCATGATCAGTTTTATTAACTGTAGCTGTTTGCTTACATCATGTCATATCATGTCAGTCTGGCATTTTGTTGCCCTTCTATGGTGTTTAATATTAAAAGGCAGCAAACTCACAAGAGTGGTAGTAAGTGCTAAATACTAAATGGGGTTTTCCATTATAGAAACCTAATGAAATGTGATGAGCCGAATAACAGTCGTCACAGGTTCTGTGTTTGATTCCACAACACTTGACCCACTTTGGAGGGAGCTAAAGCTCCCAGAACAGTTGCCGGTGATTGGTTAACCGCGTCTTCACACCTCAAGCATTTGCATTATAAGCACCATGTGCAAACACACAGTTCACTGTGTGCAAAGGGTGCAACCCCTCCCTCCTCTAAACAAAGACCGACAAAGAACAAATATAGTGGAAGAACAGAGCAGGATGGTCTGCATCAACCCCAGAGGCGATGCATGATGGTTAAGGGAAGTACAAGGTGTACCGCTCGTTTCCAATAATGGAAACACAGCGTAAGTGACATACAGAATGTAGTGGACTGAAAAGTGATGAAGTAAACAAGCAGACAATGCTTTTACTGTAAACAATTTAACCACGTTAATTGCTTTTGGTTTTTAAAAAAGTGTTGGACAACAGTCAACTGCAATTAAAATCAAATAAGGGAAAGATCTCTAACTTAAACAGTACTTTCCATAGTAAAGTTATAAAAAAATGCAAATATAAAAGCAAGATGATATTAAATAAATTAAATACATAAAGTAAATATTTTTATATTAACATGTTTGTAAAGCTTTATTTTGATGAGCATTTTGGTTTAAGTAATTGAACAATTTGCATATTTTAGTTATAAAAGATGCTGAATGTTGCTGCAGAACCTGTCTTGTCAGCAACATGTTCAGAAACCAAATTATAGGCACTATGCAGAAAACCTATTCTTAAACAATCTTACAAAGAGTGGAAATGAAGAACGGTTAATTTTCTCAATCTGTTTATAGATTTTTACAAATCAGTGATGCATCTTTTACTTTTTGATTATAACCACATAATAAAACTAATAAAGCCTAAAAATACAAAAAAGAACTAATAAATTAGTGTAAGCAATATTTTGATGACTTCCCAAAATAACAGTTTGTTTCTAGCTTCTCCCCCATATATTAATATTTTTAAACCCACAAAATGGTGTAAAAATAAGGTCAAAGGAGCAGATGATCTCACACAGTACAATTTCCTGTCATAGTAGTCTAACATCAGCAGCTTCTTACCTGTTTCTGTTGTCATGTCGAGTGTCCTGACCAGCCTTGTGAGATGCAGCACATAGTGCAGACGGAGTGTGAAAAGGTTTATATACTCACAGTCGGCCTCAGTTTACGGTGGGATTAGTCACAAGCTACCTGATTTCCTCTTGGCTCCTTCCTGCGGGTGTCTCTTATGACTCAGTCAGTGACCATGCTGTTGAGCTCAGCTATGTGTAGTGAATGAGCCAACAACTGTTCAAGTGGGGAGTGGAGGGCTGGAAACCAGTAGTACAACTTTAGTGCTGCGGACTGAGCTTGAACAGGAAAAGGTTTTACTGTCATACTTTAACTACATGATTGTTTCCAGCCATACATACATGTGTATGTGTTGAGAAAATCACCTGAAATAATAATAACTTGTACAAATATGTCAGCAAATTGCAATTTCCTATGTCTGCTTCTTGTGAACTATCATGTCAGTGTATCAGGATTAAACAGCGCTTATATTTATTTTTTGATTTAAATTACTCCACGTTATATTTCCTTCAACCCATCAGTCCAGACATGGGTATAAATGAAGTAATAAATGAATGTTTACATTATACTTGGAATTGCTCAGCAAGAAAATGAAGCCTAATGTGCAGTATAGTTTACAGCTTTCAGCCCGTTGCCCTTTATAATTCATGTAACTGGGTAGTCACTTATAAGAAAGTACATTTTCATTGATTTAGCTGGTGCTAGTGGCAGATGTTACCAGTGGTAAAAGTACTAAGATTGCAGCAGTGTAAAACTGCCTGATATGTGTGTATTATTGCTGGCTAGTGTGTTAATTTCCTGCTAGAGGATCAAAAAAGTCTTATGTTTAGGCAGTAATTTGTTGTGTTAATCTGATTCTGAAAAGTTACCTAGTAGATATAATGACACTAAATCATCTGTCTGTTCAGTTTGTAGCTGACGCCTAAAGCACAGGAAGTAAATTGTTTGTGGTGAAAGTCTGAAAGCTGGTTTCACAACTTTTGTGGAAAATCTTCATAAATCATTGTAGCTGTGATGAATGAGGCAACTCTTTTTTCACCACTGAATCACACATATCACACCTTCTGTTTTCCTCCTGTATATTTTTAATCTCTCAGCTTTGGCAGCAGCTCCCGACTGTGCAGCTAAACACCTAAGTAGGTCTTTAGTCTAAATTAAAGACCTATTTATTTACACTGGCTTTTACTCCCCAGTAGTGCCCTGACACTTTCTTTTTGACGTAACCTATTGTTAACTTTAGATTTGTGTATATACTTGCTACTTTATTTCATTTATTTTATTTGTGTTATACCTGTTTTATTTTATTTGATTGGTGTAAAGCACTTTGGTCAACTCCTAATTGTTTTAAAGCACTATATAAATAATTTTATATAGTGTGTGTGTCTCAAGAATTCCTTCTCACTTAGTAATACAGAAAAGGAAGTGGAGATAACTTTGCCAAAGGGAAACCATAATTAGAAATACTCTGTATTATAAACTATCTCCTTCAATTCAAATGCATTATTGCTATAAAGACAGCTATGTTTTGTTAGTGAAATGCTAGTGACTCAGCCCTGTCCTGATATCATTTGTGTATTGCTCTGGATAGAAATACGGTGTATGTATGTATATGTATATTTTCTGTGTATTTCTCTCTACTTGCCGCTCATGTCCATGTTAACCCACTTAAATAATGCCATAATAATGTTTTTATTTTTT